GCAGGTGCCACAGGTAATGACACCCTCACCCCAAGACCGCTTCACTCCAGGGATGGATCCAGATCCAGCCCAACCATATCCCATCCTTCCTCCTGGCACGACCCAGGGCTGAATGAAAGAAGCCTGCACCTCTTCTCTGTGACGACAAGACCATGGCAATGTCCCCCACCACGTGGACACTCCTAATGTCGTCCCCACCTGGGAAAGTCACCTCTCCTGCCCTGTAACCTTGGGCAATAACCTCCTCATTCCACCCCCACCAGGGCACTCACAACCTCTCAGCTTGGATGCCCACGTTTTCCATCCCGGACACCTCCTCCCCTGCCCTGAACCACCCCGTAAATGACTCTAGCCTGAGCACCCTTCATGCCGCCTTGACCCCATCAATGTCCCCTCTGCCCAGTCTCCGTTCATTCCACACCGGTGGGACACCTCAGCAGTCTGACCAGGACCGGCACTGAGCACTCCCACGCTGGACCTCAGCAATACCCCCTTCTTCAGAATCTGCTCTTTCCATCCCAGACAATTCCTTGCGCATGCCCTGGTCAGGCCCCCTCCTCTCTTGCCCCGACCCCCGGAATATCCTTGAGGGTCGTCCAGGTGCCCACTGCCGCCGCCTTCCACAGCCCGCGCACCCGGTCCTTCCATCCCGGTACTTGCCCAGCGCGGGTCCAGTACCTGCGCCCCTGCTCCGATCTCTGCAATGTTCCAGGCCTGGGCATCTTCCCACTGACCGGGTACCTTCCGTTCCACCTCTCGCGCCGCCCACGGCCCGAGTACCTGCTCTTTCCAACGCTGGCCCTTCTAGTCCGGCTGAGCTGGGACACCTGCAACCCTACCCAGTTCCCCGCTCAGGGACGGCTCCCGCCCGCTGCAAGCCTCAGTCCCGGACCTTGCCACGCCGCCCGGCTTCTCCGCGGGCTCAGTCCGTACCGCCGCCACTCACCCAGGATCCCATCGCTGCGGAAGGACAGCGTCTCCTTCCCCGCCGCCCGCGCAACCAACCTCGGGGCCACGGGGGGCGTGGCCTCACGCAGGGCCAACCTTTCTTTGGCCAATGAGTGTCGTCGAACTCCTCTGCACCGCCCCGGCCTCTGTGCAATTGGGTAGGTCACGTGACCAATATTGTCTCACCCTCCCTTCTCCCTCTGTTCCGCCCCCTAAGTGCGGTTGAGGCGCGGAAGTGATTTTTTTTTTCTCTCCTGTGATTGGCCATCGAGATTAGATTGACCCGGGTGGCTGAGTGAGGCGGGGCCACTCTTAAAGGGATGAGGCGAAGCAAACAGGTTTCGAAGGCGGTTTGTGGAAGGAATTGCCGGTGGTCTGAGCTCTCACATTTGGTTCCTCTGCCTCCACTGGTGTCCACACGGACAAGTTCTTCCCGCCCTTCGAGCGCCCACTTTCCAACGCCACCGCCTCTAACTTCCTACAGCATCCTCCTAAGCACTTGCCACTCTCCACTTTCTGGGGTTGTTTGCAGAAGTGCCACGCCTCCCCTACGAGACGTTGTCTCCCTAAGAGTTGGCATCAAGTGATTCGGTTCACTGTGCCTTGCACTAAACACTGGGTTTGGAATCAGGCCGACCTGAGTTGGAATCAAGTTCTGCCACATCAGCTTTCTGGGGTTTACTCAGTTTACCCCTCTGTAAAATAGGAATGGAATTCTTGCCTTGCCTGAGTAACAGGGCTTTGGTGCTGATCATAAGAAAACAGTGTGGCAGCCCTTTCATAACCAAAGAACTGGACACATCTAAGTTTTTTTAGTGTAATTATCAGTAAGGTCACATTCTTTCATTCATCAACAGCTAATATTTCTGTGTGCCAGCCCTTTGGCTGGACTTGGGAGTGCAGTGGTGGACAAGATACATATAATTAAGATACTTAATTACAATCTTATGTAATATTGTTCTAATGGTGGAAACTCAGGAATATGGGGATTCCCAGGGACACCTGCGCTCCCATGGGGAGGTGAGAGACTCCCGAAAAAAAGTGACGTCCAAACAGAAACCTAAGGATGACTAAGAGTTAGCTGGACAGAGAGAAAAGGAAGGAGTGTTCAGGAACAGCATGGGCTGTGTGATCCAGAGGCAAGAGCGAACTTGGCATGTTGTTTGGTTTTTTTTTTTGGTCATACCCCGCATCATCCAGGATCTTGATTCCCTGACCAGGGATTGAACCTGTGCCCCCTGCAGTGGAAGCACAGGGTCTTAACCACTGGACCACCAGGGAAGTCCCCAAACCTGGCATCTTTGACTCAAGGTGACAGAGAGAGAGAGAGAGAGAGGAGAGTGGTAGCTGATGAGCCAAGGAAGTGGCAGCCAGAGCAAAGGAGAGCAGGCTCCACCACTGAACTGCCTGCGTCTGGGGCCAAATCCACTGCTTCCTCCCCTGTGTCCTTGGGCAAATCACTTAACTTCTCTAAACCTTAGCTTCCTAAAATGAGGAGAACGATGGTTTCTGAGCTTTTACGAGGACCTTAAGTGATTATTCACTTAAAAGTGCTCAGTGCTGGGCCTGGCATGGTCTTAGGACATTTTGGCCATTGCTATTAGAAAAACTGCAATAGCCAAGTAGAAAGCTAGATAAATCGATGCAACATATGGACTGGGACAGATACAAGATCAGGAGTTACTGTCTCACTCTCTCTCTCTCTCTCTCTCTCTCTCTCTCTCTCTTTCTCCCCTTTACCCTGCTGTTTTTCTTCCCAGGATCTGACCTGTTATACATCTGTTTATCCAAGAGGGCAAGAGCCTTGTTTTGTTCACTGCTGCATCCATGGCACCTAGAACAGCCCCTGGCACATAGTTGGTGCCGATAAGGTCTTTCTCCTTGACCAAACCAGAGTCAGGCTCCTGTGAGCCAGCCCTCTGCTTGACTAGGTGCAACCTTGAGTTTCCATCTTGTAGAGTCCAGTTTTAACAAGAATTCTGCAGGGTCAGTTTAGTAAAATCCCCAACCCTGGGTATCTGATCACCCTCCATATTTGATCAAATTCTTCATCCTCTATCCTCGATATCTTATCCCCCTAGTCTGCCTTCCGCAAGAATCTCACTAGCCCTAATGTTCCCACTTAGTCATTTTCCATCCACTGACATCCCCACTCTGCTCATTGTCTATAAATCCCCACTTGTCCTTGTTGTATTTGGAGTTGAGACCAATCTCTCTCCCAGACTGCAACCCCTGCCCCTGCACTAGGCTCTCTTGAATAAAGTCTTCCTTACAGTCCTTAACAAGTATCATGAATATTTTTTTCTTTAACCTTGCTCAATGTGGTTATTGAATGAATAAACATGTAACTACATTGATTTATGACTGTTGAAAGATGATATGATTGTATGCTGGCTAAATAAATGATATAGTTAGCTACAGACAGACACTGGTAAATAAGTCAGTGATCAATACAAATAGAAATACGTAGTGAACACATAGAAACACACAAAGAAACACATAGAGATGATGAACTGCAGGTGTGTGAGTGACACGAAAGTTGATGATGGCTCCATGTAGATAATAATGCAGATCGGTAGTTCTGAACCTGTGGTGCACATTTAAGTCACCTGGAAGCTTTTCAAGACTCCACCTGCCGGGCTCCACCTGAACTGAGAGAACCAGGGCTGGGAGTGGGCCCAGGGATTTTTCATAAACCTCCAGATGACTTGAAGCTCACTCTGGACAGACAGGCTGGGGTAGAAGATGGGGAACTGGTATAAGTGCAGGGAGATAATCGAAGCCAGGAATCCAGGGGACAGAGCCAGAGAGGAAAGGGTACCAGTTCAGGAACAGAGCTCTCCACTGGGTAAGAAGATGAAGTCTAGAGGTAGAGAGCGGGGAGCAGTGCAAACAGGTAATAAGCCCCTTCCAAGCCCCATGGGAGAGGGGGAAGTGTATGTGCAGGCCATCCTTTTGCCTGTTTGGGGCTGTGAGAAGCTGGTTCAAGGTCAGCACATGTCCAGGCCTGGAGGGTAGCACGTTCCTCCACCTGGGCTGAACGGAAGACCCTCTTTCTCTTCTCCTTCCTTCCCCTTAACTCCTCCACACACCCTCACCCAACTTTGGAGAACCAGAGGGTTTCCGGGGGCCAAACAGCCATTCCCCAGCGGTGGAGGACCAGTCCCCAGCTGGCCTATCCCCTGGCTCAATTGTCCTTAGTGTCACCAAGGTTGGGGCAGAAGAGGAGGGGGGGCTAGAGAGGTCAAGGTGGTGGTGATGGTCGGCACAGAAAGATCCAGGTCAAAAGACGCCGAGAAATAGGGAGCCAGAGGGCCCAGCAGGCCAGGAGGATGCGAATCGACAAAGGGAAGAGGCACAAACGGGCGGAGGCCATAGGACAAGGAAGCGAGAGGCCGGCCCGGCGGCGGCCGCCGCAGGGGGCAGCCGCGAGCAGCCTCAAGCCGGGGCCCCTCCGCCCCGCCCCCCGCAGGCTCCTCCCCGCCCCGCCCCGCCCCGCCCCCGCAGGCTCCTCCCCCGCGGCCGGTGCCCCTCCCTGCGCGCTCGGGCAAGCTTGACTGAGGCGGCTGGGGTGGGCCAGGCGGGCGCGCTAAGGGCCAGAGCACCGGCAGCAGGTGGGCGCGGTGCGGGCTGGCGGCGGCGGGCCGGGGGTTGCCGGGCGGCGTTCGGGCCGGACGTGGCCGGCCGTGCGGAGCGCCATGGACTTCAACATGAAGAAGCTGGCGTCAGACGCGGGCATCTTCTTCACCCGGGCCGTGCAGGTGAGGCCGTGCACCCTGGGCCCCGCGCGGCCGGCGGGCACCCCTGCAGCAGAGCCCGGGGCCGCGGGAGAAGGCCCTCGCGGCCGCCGCTCCTTCCCCGCTGCGGAGTCGCCCTAGCCGCCCCCCAGCCCCTCCTCCTTCTGCGGTGCCCAGTAGAGAGAAAGAGCCCGGGGCGGCCGGCCACACTGGCCGCACCCTCAGCGTGGCCCAGGCCTGGGGAGTGAGCCGGGCCTGCCTCGGCCCTGCTGTCGCGGGGGAGGTGTCAGCCTCCACCATTTCGACCCGCCGGCCGGGTAGTCCCGCTGTCCTGGCGCCTGCCCCGCCCCCGGTGGGGGGCTCCGCTGAGTAGGGCAGAGGGCCCCAGGCGGTTCCTGTCTCCTTGCCCTTGCCCAGCAGTGACTCTGACTCCCGGCAGGCGTTTGGAGGCCTGAGTTTCAGGCCTAAGGACTCGTGCACCCGCCCTGACCCCTTCTCTGAGCCTCAGTCTCCGCACCTGTGCAATGGACTGGTGGTACTGATCCCCTCAGGTCCCTTTTACACGCTTGGATAGCTCGGAAGCCAGGAGGGCTGGGGTTATTTACTTTCTGCTCCGTGGGAGGCCTGTTTCTCTTATTTCCCCAGGCCCTGGGGGCTGGCGGGGTGCCCTCCTTGGGAAGCTGTACAGTGGGTGATGCTGGGATTAGAACAAGTCCTATCCGTTTGGGGACAAGGGAAAAAACAGAAGCAGCTGAGTGTAATGGTGAAGACCGGGAGTCAGCTGTGGGTGTGGAGGCTCCCTCTTGTGACTCCCTTTGAAGACGGGGCTTCACCTCTCTGGGCCACAGTTTTTCAGTCTGAAAAATGGCCTTAGCAGTCCCTCCCTCCCAGCATGGATGTGAGTGTCCCAGGCATTCCACGTGAACATGCTCACTAAAGGCAAGTCATTCTTGGTGTAACGTGGTTAGTATTGCAGCTGTGCAGCATGTGACATTAGGCAAGTCTCGGAGCCTCCGTGTTCCCTTCTGTCAATCAGGGGTCGCACCAGTCTGCCTCCCAGGGTGGCTGCTGCCTTGGGGCTTGGCCTGTCACAGCGCTCTGGGAACAGATTCTGTTGTTTGTCCTTGCCCTGGTTGTTGGTTCTCTGGAGGAGCCCAGCCCCAGACAGTCTCTTGGAAGCCCACATGCCCATGTTTACTAGAAAGCACAGTGTCCCGTTGAGGATTTGCGCCCCAGAGAGGGTTTGCTGCTCCGTGTTCGAAGCCCTGCCGGGGACCCCAGCCCTAGTGGGGATGCTAGCAGCCTGGAGTTCATGGGCCCACCCCTGTCCATCCAGAAGGAAGGGAATTCCCCCCAGTGTTGGTATGGCAACCACTTTATCTCCCACATCTGGGAAGAACCTGATATGCCAGTTTCCTGCTACTTTGGGGCCCTAGCACCTGACCTGGCCAGGCCTGCAGAGCCTGGGGTATGGGGAAGCTTGGTCCCTGTGGCCTCTTTTCTCCTGGGGTGGGGGGGCAGGCCCACTGGTTCGCCCATACTGGAGTGGGAGCCAGTGCCCAGGCTCCCGCCTCCAGAGTGGAGGAGGGAGCTGGGAGCTTTATAAATAGAGGCTTTCTCTGGCCCTGCACGCCCACCCCCTGCTGCTGCCATCTTGCAGGGAGCAGCCTCTGAAGCCTGGGCCCTTCCTCTTGGCAGGGATGGGGCAGGGTGGCAGCCAGAAGAGAGAAGGGCTTGAAATGTGACCTGGGCAGGAGAGCACACTCAGGGGACCCTCCTGAGGCCAGTCTGCCCTGGGGTAGGAGTCAGCCAGGAGGGACGGGGGTGGTTTATTATTAATGTGTGGGCAGCTCCTCTGCGTAGGTGCCACCTACCTATGCACGACATGCTGGGTAAGCGCTCAGCCCCTCCATGTGTCGAGGACACTTTTAGGAGCCTCACCTCATCCCCGTCCAGTAGGGAACTGGACCTTGGCCCTGGGATAAGAATCCGGAGGCCACATCCCTTTTGCATGGGCGATTCTAGGATGGCTTCTCAGTCCCCGAACTGTGCCTTGAAGGTCAGGAGGGGTTTGCCGAGTTGGTCCAGGTGATGGGAACAGCCCAGCTAAGGGCACCGAGACAGGAAAACCTAAGGCATGTTTGGGTAAGATGCCAGTGGGGGTGGGAGTGGGCAGTGGAAGTGCTGGTACTAATGCTGTTGGTAGTAATTGCAGTATTACTAATAGCAGTGGTAGGAGTAATGATAATAAAAGCCAGGGAGGCTGTGGCATCGTTCTCATCCAAGTCAGGCAGGCAGCGGTGAACGTGGGAGGGATGCCCAAGATGTTGGGAAAGCCCGGTAGGACTTTGAACCTGGGTGGGTGTGTGGTGTGAGGGACGGGTGGCCAGGTGGCACGGCGGGGAGTGCTGCCATTAACCTTGGTAAGAAGGGGAGATGCTGAGGTACACACTGAGGGTGACACAATCACCTGAATCATACTGGCTGGTGCCATCAGGGTAAGGATGTCCCTAGGTGGCTCCTGAGAGCCAAGGAGGGACCTGAGGGAGACCTTTTATTAATGATGATGATGACGCCAGCTAACGTTTATCAGGCCTATACTGTGTGCTGACCACGAAACTAAGCACCTTCCAAATATTCTGTGAGATAGGTCGTGTTATCCCCATCCTCCGGGGGGAAACTGAGGACCAGAGAGGTGACTTTGCCTCTGACCCTCGATTTTCTCATCTGCAAAATGGGGTAATGCTAACCCCTGAAGGGTCTGGGTGAGGTGAGGCCTCTTCAGGGCCTGGCTCCAGGAGGCCCCAGCTTGGGGAATGTGACGAAGAAGAGGAGTCGGGAGACCGGGAGGAGGCCAGGAGCAGCTGGTTCCCAGGTGAGGAGCCGCAGGCTCTAACCCTGGCCCACCCAGCTCTGCAGAGGGAAACCCAAGCCCCCATGCATAATTGATGGCTGCCGAGCTGGAGCAGCCCGACAGGGCAGCCTGACCACCGGTGGTGCCTCCTGCCCCTTGCAGCTGGACCTGTCCTTGGCCTCTGGATGACTCACCGCTGCCTAGTCATCTGGGAAGGGCCTCCAGACCCCCAGCCTGTGTGACTCCAGCACAGCCTGCCTCTTGCTCAGTCTCAGCGGCATCTTCTGTGAAATGGGAAACTTGGCCGGCCTGAGGGCAGTGTCTGTTGTTGTCAGGGCTGATCTACTCCTGCAGGTCTTCACCCCTTTGCTGTTTGCCTGTGACCTCCCCTTGGCTGGACGGGGCCTTTGAGATCAGAGAGGCCAGGACTTGGGCCGGTTTCTGGTTTTTCTTAGGTGGCCCCCATGGTTTCTGCCAGCTCTGAAGGGGGACCCTTGTGACATCCTGGTCCTTTCCTGGCCTTGGGGCGGGGCTGCCGAGCTTTCTGGGCCCTGGGTGTGCCCAGCAGTTGGCTCTGATGAGCTGGCGCTGTTCCCCATATACCACTCCAGGCAACCGGAGGCCAGCCATGTGGCCATCCTCCCCCCGCCCCGCCCCGCCCCGCCGCATTCCCCTTCCTTCCCAGCCATCTCTCTGCGCATCAGCTCTTACACTGAACACTGACTGCCTGCCAGATCCTAGCCTTCATGTCTTATCCACATCTTTCTTATTTCATTCTTACAACCTATGAGGGAGATGCTATTACTTATTATTACCATTTTCAGCTTAGGAAACTGATGCTCAGAGAGGCAAAGCCACTTGCCCAAGGTCACACAGCTCATCAGACTGAGACTTGAAGTCCCTCTGATTCTGGAACCTGGGTTCCTCTGACTCCCTCCCTTGGTATCCCCTTCCCGTGGCTCCCAGCTGCCCCGGAACATCCTGATAACCCCAGACCTTGTTCTGTGCCCCTTTTGTTCCCTGAGCACTTGTAACCAAGTGCTTTCCTTCAGAGTCAGGCTGGGGGGACCCTTAGTGATAGGCTCCCAAGGGTTCCTTACACCCTAAGTTGTATGTCTGATTTTGTACAGATGTGCTTTTTTGGGGAGAGGGAGTCTGTATCTTTCATTGGATTTCCAAAAGGAGCCATGATCCCCAAACTCTGGTCCAACCACCTCATTTCACAGAGGAACAAACAGGCCCAGGGCAAGGTTGCACCTTGATCAAGGTCACAGAGCAGGTCAGGGGCAGAGCAAGTTTCTTGACCTTGGGGCCTGAATTCCAGCCAGGTGGGAGGGGTAGATGGGCGGGGCAGGGGTGCTCCTCCCGTCCCCCTTTCTGAGCCCTCCACCCTGGGTGCTCTCCCCACAGTTCACAGAGGAGAAATTCGGCCAGGCCGAGAAGACCGAGCTTGATGCCCAGTTTGAGAACCTTCTGGCCCGGGCAGACAGCACCAAGAACTGGACGGAGAAAATCCTGAGGCAGACAGAGGTGTTGCTGCAACCCAACCCCAGTGAGTGGACACGGGCCGGCCCCGGGCTTGGGGCGGGAAGCTGCGGGCAGGAGCCCCAGCTGCTGAGACTGTGCAGGTGGGCCTGGGCGGCAGGTGGGATTTGGGTTAGACTCTTGGGGCTTAAGGCTGCTGTTTTGGGGGGTCCCGCTTAAAGAAAACAGCAGACTCAGTGTTGGGCTCCAGGATGCACTCTCTGGGACAGTGGAAATGCTAAGTGTCGCACAGAGGAGTTGAAGAAATGCCTGGAAACTAAAGCACAGTTGGGAGAAGAGGCAGGAGAAACGGGAGCCAGGTCACTGGAGGGAAGGCAGCGAGGCTCAGGGATGAGAGAGGACTTGCCGAGAGTCACACGCAGCGTGGTGCAGGCAAACGCAGCTGCAGGAGAACCTGTGGGAAGAGAGGGCTGGCCTGGGGTCGTGAGACTTGTCTGCCTGTATGTCTGCTGTTAGCTGAGTGAGTGTGCTGAGAGCTTTCTGGGGCCAGGCCAGGGCATTGCTCACGTGTGTGTTATGCCCTGTAAATCCATAGTGTAATGAGGGAGAAGCTGTGGGGTGGGAAGGGGTGGCAGTTGCCTTCAGGCCCGTCACCTGCAGCTGTGTGACCTCGGGCAGGCATTTCAACGTGTCTGAGCCGTGGCTTCTTTCTCTCTAGAGTGAGGGCTTCGCGGGGTCAAGGGCCAGTCTCACACAGTTGAGAATCAGCAAGAGAGTATTCTGGAAGTCACCAGGCTGGATGCCCCTGTGGGCAGGCCCTGGTCTGGATCTGTTTCTGTCACCACAGCTTTCATCCTTGGGCTCCTACCGAAGAGCCCTGTGGCTTTGGCTGCTGTCTCCCCGCAGGTGCCCGAGTGGAGGAGTTCCTGTATGAGAAGCTGGACAGGAAGGTGCCTTCGAGGGTCACCAACGGGGAACTGCTGGCTCAGTACATGGCAGAGGCGGCCAGTGAGCTGGGGCCCACCACGCCCTACGGTGAGCCAGTCCCCACAGCCAGGGTCGGGGGTCACGGTCTCTGGCACAAATCTTCTTCCCTCCCTTCTCTCCTTCCTTTCTCTGTTTTTTAATTTGCACACATGATACCTGGATTCATTTTGCTTGTAAACACCTCAATCAATGGAGATGAAAATAGAGTAAAAAATAGAAGCCTCCCGGGACTTCCCTGGTGGTCCAGTGGTTAAGACTCTGTGCTCCCAGTGCAGTGGGCCCGGGTTTGATCCCCGGTCGGGGAACTAAGATCCTGCATGCCGCACAGTGCAGCCAAAAAACAACAACAAAAAATTGAAACCTCCCTTACCCAGTTTTGGTTTGTGTGCATTTTTTAATGGGATCATGTTATGTGTACTATTCTGCAACCTGATTTTTAAACTGGGCACTGCACTACAGATAATCTGTTCACAGCACTTACAGAGTCACCTCAATCTTTATTTTTTATTTTTTAAGTTCTATCTAGGTACAGTTTATACACTATAAAGTACACCTGTTTTAAGTGTGTAATTTGATGATTTTTAGTGAATTTACAGAATTGAACAAACATCCCCCAATCCAATTTATGTATTTTTTTTTAATTTATTTAATTTTTTAATTGAAGTATAGTTGATTTACAATATCGTGTTAGTTTCAAGTGTACAGCACAGTGATTCAGTTACACACACACACACACACACACACACACTCACACACACAACATATATATATATTCCTTTTCAAATTCTTTTCACTTTTAGGTTATTACAAAATATTGAGTGTAGTTCCCAGTGCTATACAGTGGGTCTTGTTGGTTATCTATTTTATATACAATAGTGTGTATATGTTAATCCCAACCTCCTAATTTATCCCTCCTCCCACCCCCCCTTTCCCCTTTGGTAACCATAAGTTTGTTTTCTGTGTCTCTGAGTCTGTTTCTGTCTTGTAAATTAGTTCATTTGTATCATTTTTTAAGATTCCACATATATGTGGTATCATATGATATTTGTGTTTCTCTGTCTGGCTTAACTTCACTTAGTATGATAATCTCTGGTTGTGTCCATGTTGCTGTAAATGGCATTATTTCATTCTTTTTTATGGCCGAGTAATATTCCATTGTATTTATATACCACATCTTCTTTATCCATTCACCTGCTGATTGACATTTAGGTTGCTTCAATGTCTTGGCTATTGTGAATAGTGCTGCAATGAACATTGGGGTGCATATAGCTATTCCAATTATGGTTTTCTCTGGATATATGCCCAGGAGTGGGATTGCAGGATCATATGGTAGCTCTGTTTTTACTTTTTAAAGGAACCTCCATACTGTTCTCCATTGTGGCTGCACCAGTTTACATTCCCACCAACCGTGTAGGAGGGTTCCCTTTTCTGCACACCCTCTCCAGCATTTATTATATGTAGACTTTTTAATGGTAGTCATTCTGACTGGTGTGAGGAGATGCCTCACTGTAGTTTTGATTTGCATTTCTGTAAAAATTAGCGATGTTGAGCATCTTTTCATGTGCCTTTGGGCCATCTATATGTCTTCTTTGGAGAAGTGTCTAGTTAGATCTTCTGCCCATTTTTTGATTGGGTTGCTTGTTTTTTTGATATTGAGCTATATGAGCTGTTTGTATATTTTGGAGATTAATCCCTTGTCAGTTGCATCATTTGCAAATATTTTCTCCCATCTTGTAGGTTGTCTTTTCGTTTTGTTTCCTTTGGTTGGGTTTCCTTTGCTATGCAAAAGCTTTTAAGTTTAATTCCCATTTGCTTATTTTTGTTCTTGTTTCCATTACTCTAAGAGATGGATCCAAAAAGATACTGCTGCAATTTATGTCAAAGAGTGTCCTGCCTATGTTTTCCTCTAGGAGTTTTTGTTTTGTTTGTTTGTTTTTTATATATATTTTTGGCTGCATTGGGTCTTCGTTGTTGTGCGCAGGCTTTCTCCAGTTGTGGTGAGCGGGGGCCACTCTTCCTTCCGGTGCACAGGCTTATCATTGCAGTGGCTTCTCTTGTTGTGGAGCACGGGCTCTAGGTGCGCAGGCTTCAGTAGTTGTGGCACACAGGCTCAGTAGTTGTAGCTTGTGGGCTCTAGAGCACAGGCTCAGTAGCTGTGGCACGTGGGCTTAGTTGCTCCACGGCATGAGGGATCATCCCAGACCAGGGCTTGAACCCGTGTCTCCTGCATTGGCAGGCATATTCTTAACCACTGTGCCACCAGGGAAGTCCCCCTCTAGGAGTTTTATGGTATCTGGTCTTACATTTAGGTCTTTAATCCATTTTGAGTTTAGTTTTGTGCATAGTGTTAGAGAATTTCTAATTTCATTCTTTTAATTTAGCTGTCCAGTTTGCTCAGCACCACTTATTGAAGAGATTGTCTTTTCTCCATTGTATATTCTTGCCTCCATTGTTGTAGAGTAATTGACCGTAGGTGCATGGGTTTATTTCTAGGCTTTTTGTCCTGTTCCATTGATCTATATTTCTGTTTTTGTGCCAGTACCATACTGTTTTGATTACTGTAGCTTTGTAGTATAGTCTGAAGTCAGGGAACCTGATTCCTCCAGCTTCATTTTTCTTTCTCAAGATTGCTTTGGCTATTCAGGGTCTTTTGTGTTTCCATAAAAATTAAAAAATTTTTTGTTCTAGTTCTGTGAAAAATGCCATTGGTAATTTGATAAGGATTGCACTGAATCTGTAGATTGCCTTGGATAGTATAGTCATTTTGAGAATACTGATTCTTCCAGTCCAGGAACACAGTATATCTTCCCATCTGTTTGTGTCATCTTTGGGTGGCTTTTTTTTGGCTGTGCCGCGTGGCTTGTGGGATCTTAGTTCCTAACCACTGGACCACCAGGGAATTCCCTCATCTTCCGTTTCTTTCATCAGCATCTTATAATTTTCAGAGTACAGTTCTTTTGCTTCCTTAGGTAACTTTTTAAAAAAAAAATAAATTTATCTTTTTTTTTTTGGCTGCATTGGGTCTTTGCTGTTGTGCACAGGCTTTCTCTAGTTGTGGCTGCTCTTCATTGTGATGGCTTCTCTTGTTGCGGAGCACGGGCTCCAGGCGTGCGGGCTGCGTTAGTTGTGGCACGTGGGCTCAGTAGTTGTGGCTCGTGGGCTCCAGAGCGCAGGCTCAGCAGTTTTGGCGCACAGGCTTAGTTGTTCCACGGCATGTGGGAATCTTCCCAGACCAGAGCTCGAACCCATGTCCCCTGCATTAGCAGGCGGATTCCTAACCACTGCGCCACCAGGAAAGTCCTCCTTAGGTAGTTTTATTCCTAGGTATTTTTATTCTTTTTAATTTCTCTCTCTGGTCTTTCATTGTTAGTGTATGGAAATGCAACAGATTTCTGTTTATTAATTTTGTATCCTGCAACTTTATTGAATTCACTGATTAGCTCTAGTAGTTTTCTGGTGGCATCTTTAGGATTTTCTATGTACAGTATCATGTCATCTGCAAACAGTGAGAGTTTTACTTCTTCTTTTCCAATTCGGATTCTTTATTTCTTTTTCTTCTCTGATTGCTGTGGCTAGGACTTCCAAAACTATGTTAAATAAAAGTGGCATGAGTGAACGTCTTTTGTCTTGTTCCTGATCTTAGAGAAAATGCTTTTAGTTTGTTACCATTGAGTATGATGTTAGCTGTGGGTTTTTCATATATGGCCTTTATTATGTTGAGGTAGGTTTCCTCTGTGCCCACTTTCTGGAGTGTTTTTATCATAAATGGATGTTGAATTTTATCAAAAGCTTTTTCTGCATCTATTGAGATGATCATATGGATTTTATTCTTCAATTTGGTAATGTGGTATATCACACTGATTGTTTTACAGACATTGAAAAATCCTTACAGGGACTTTCCTGGTGGTCCAGTGGGTAAGACTCCACACTCCCAATGCAGGGTGCCCAGGTTTGATCCCTGGTCAAGGAACTAGATCCTGCGTGCATGCCGCAACTAAGAGTCCACATGCTGCAACTAAGAAGTCCGCACACCACAACTAAGGAGCCCACACATTGCAACTAAGAGCCCACGTGCTGCAACTAAGACCTGGTGCAGCCAATATAAAGAAATAAATATTAAAAAAAAAAAAGTAAGAAAAATCCCACTTGGTAATGGTGTATGATCCTTTTAATGTATTGTTGGGTTCAATTTGCTAGTATTTTGTTGAGGATTTTTGTGTCTATGTTCTTCAGTGATATTGGCCTGTAATTTTCTTTTTTGTGTGGTATCTTTGTCTGTATTTGGTATCAGGGTGATGGTGGTCTCGTAGAATGAGTTTGGTTCCTGCCTCTGCAATTTTTGGAGTAGTTTCAGAAGGATCGGTGTTAACTCTTCTTTAAACATTTGATAGAATTTTCCTGTGAAGCCATCTGGTCCATCTGGACTTTTGTTTGTTGGAAGTTTTTAAATCAGAAATTGTATTTCAGTACTTGTAATTGGTCTGTTCATATTTCCTCTTTCTTCCTGGTTCAGTCTTGGGAGATTGTACCTTTTTAATAATTTGTACATTTCTTCTAGGTTGTCCATTTTAGTAGCAGATAGTTGCTTGTAGTGGTTTCTTACAGTCCTTTGTACTTCTGTGGTGTTGGTTGCAGCTTCTTCCTTTTCATTTCTAATATTACTGATTTGCGTCCTCTCCCTTTTTTTCTTGATGAGCCTGGCTAAAGATTTATCAATTTTGTTTATCTTTTCAAAGAACCAGCTTTTAGTTTCATCGATCTTTTCTGTTGTTTTCTTAGTCTGTAATTTATTTATTTATGCTCTGTTCTTTATGATTTCTTTCCTACTAACTTTAGGTTTGTTTTTTCTTCATTTTCTAGTTGCTTTAGGTGTAAGGTTTGGTTGTTTATTTGAGATTTTTCTTGTTTCCTGAGGTAAACTTGTATCACTATAAACTTGCCTCTTAGAACTGCTTTTGCTGTGTCCCATAGGTTTTGGCATAGTGTTTTCATTTCCCTCTAGGTATTTTTTAATTTCATCTTTGATTTCTTTTTTTATTAATTAATTA